CGCGTCTGGTGTGAACAGGCACGCGCCGGACCGCGCGTGAATTTCCGTTCCGCGTCGCTTCAGCGTCCGGTGTGAACCCGGCGTGAGTGAGAACAGCTGTGGTAGTCCTTGCAATTACAGTTGAAACCAGATATTTACATACACTTCAGAAATAAACACAAAAACTTTTATTTCTTTACTGTCATACATTAAATCAGAGTAAACTTTTTCTGTTTTAGATCAATAAATATTATCATATTTTTTGCATTTGTTAAATGTCAGAATCGAGCGAGGGATAATTTTTATGTAATTGTTTTATCACTTTCATCAAAGTCAGAAGTATACATACACTTCCTTAGTATTTGGTAGAATTGCCCCGAAACTGTTTCACTTGGGCCAAACGTTTTGGGTATCCTTCCACAAGCTTCCTACAATAGTTTGCTGGAATTTTGGCCCACTCCTCTTGACAGAACTGGTGTAACTGGGTCAGGTTTGTAGGCCTTCTTGCTCGCACTCGCCTTTTTAGTGCCGCCCACAAATTTTCTATGGGATTGAGATCAGGGCTTTGTGATGGCCACTCCAATACCTTCACTTTGTTTTCCTTAAGCCACTTTGTAACTAATTTGGAGGTATGCTTGGGGTCATTGTCCATTTGGAAGACCCATTTGCGCCCAAGCTTTAACTTTCTGGCTGATGTCTTCAGATGTTGCTTCAATATATCCACAAAATTTTCTTTTCTCATGATGCCATCTATTTTGTGAAGTGCACCAGTCCCTTCTGCAGCAAAGCAGCCCCACAGCATTATACTACCACCCCCATACTTCACAGTTGGGATGGTGTTCTGAGGCTTCAAAGCTTCGCCCTTTTTCCTCCAAATATACCGTTTATCATTATGGCCGAACAGTTCAATTTTTGTTTCATCAGACCACAGGACATGTCTCCAGAAATTAAGATTTTTGTCTCCATGTGCAGTTGCAAACTGTAGTCTGGCTTTTTTATGGTGGTTTTGAAGTAATGGCTTTCTTCTCCCAGAGTAACCTTTTAGCTCATGGTGGTACAGGACTCGTTTTACTGTGGATAATGACACCGTCTTACCAGTTTCAGCTAGCATCTTCACAAGGTCTTTTGCTGTTGTCCTGGGATTGATTCGCACATTTCGCACCAAAAAACGTTCCTCTCTGGGACTCAGAATCCGTCTCCTTCCTGAGCGGTATGATGGTTGTACATTCCCATGTTTTTTATACTTGCGTATTATTGTCTGAACAGATGAACGTGGGACCTTCAGGCATCTGGAAATTGCACCTAAGGATGAGCCACACTTGTGGAGGTCCACAATTCTTTTCCTGATGTCTTGGTTGATTTCTCTTGATTTTCCCATGATGTCAAAGAAAGAGACTCTGTGTTTGAGGTGTGCCTTTATATGCATCCACAGGTGTGCCACCAATTAACTCAAATGGAATCAATTAACCTATCAGAAGCTTCTTAAGCTCAGAATGGAATCATCTGGAGTTTTCTTTTTGTTTAAAGACACAATAAACTTAGTGTATGTATACTTCTGACTTTGATGAAAGTGATAAAAAAATTACATAAAAATTATCCCTCACTCGATTCTGACATTTAACAAATGCAAAAAATATGTTAATATTTATTGATCTAAAACAGAAAAAGTTTACTTTGATTTAATGTATGACAGTAAAGAAATAAAAGTTTTTGTGTTTTTTTCTGAAGTGTATGTAAATATCTGGTTTCAACTGTAGCACAGCGAAAGCAAGTATCCCGACAATGGCCCAAATCGAAACTAGCTGTTATGAACAGCAATACTTAAGTGCTACAATAACAAACAGACTCCAACCCTTAAGACGGCAGATATTCAAAATAGGAACGCGACTAATTAAAATAAAGATATTTAGTGAAGATAAAAATTACAAAGAAGCAAAGAATCGAAAATAGCCCTACTTACTTGACAAATGGTAAACAGAGCAACAGGAGAACTGTATATTAAGAAAAAACAACTTACGCGCTCTTGACGTTCTCACCGAGTGACTGCTGTCCTGGCTTTCACCTGAATTTACTTCTAATTTATATCTACTTTAACAGCCCTTGCAATTAGCACAGCGAAAGCAAGTATCCCGACAATGGCCCAAATCGAAACTAGCTGTTATGAACAGCAATACTTAAGTGCTACAATAACAAACAGACTCCAACCCTTAAGACGGCAGATATTCAAAATAGGAACGCGACTAATTAAAATAAAGATATTTAGTGAAGATAAAAATTACAAAGAAGCAAAGAATCGAAAATAGCCCTACTTACTTGACAAATGGTAAACAGAGCAACAGGAGAACTGTATATTAAGAAAAAACAACTTACGCGCTCTTGACGTTCTCACCGAGTGACTGCTGTCCTGGCTTTCACCTGAATTTACTTCTAATTTATATCTACTTTAACAGCCCTTGCAATTAGCACAGCGAAAGCAAGTATCCCGACAATGGCCCAAATCGAAACTAGCTGTTATGAACAGCAATACTTAAGTGCTACAATAACAAACAGACTCCAACCCTTAAGACGGCAGATATTCAAAATAGGAACGCGACTAATTAAAATAAAGATATTTAGTGAAGATAAAAATTACAAAGAAGCAAAGAATCGAAAATAGCCCTACTTACTTGACAAATGGTAAACAGAGCAACAGGAGAACTGTATATTAAGAAAAAACAACTTACGCGCTCTTGACGTTCTCACCGAGTGACTGCTGTCCTAACTATACATTTTGTGTGAAATGAATTTCTAACTCTGGTGGCAGCTAACGTTAGCCCTGTAGAGTATACGGAAGAGTGATTTCTCTGATGTTTGCGATTTTGCGCTGTTCTGGATTAGTGGGAGTGGCTTGCGGAGCTGTACAACGTGGTGCATTCTGGGAGTTGTGGTCTTACACACAAATGCGCCCTAAAGTTATTTTCTGTCTTTTCTCGGTCAAGAGGGCACCAAATTCAAAATTTCTTTTACATTTCGACTACATATATGACCCACTTTCAATAAAGATTAATGTTGAAATGGGTGAAGTGCTCCTTTAAGTCCTAGGTAATTTTATCCAACATTTATTTATTAAACAATCATTTTCATAGTGATTTTTGTTAAAGAAAATTCACATTTTACTATGTGTGACCGGGTGTTCTCCTCCCATGTTGTTTAAGTTAACTCGAGCTCGCCGCCTATAAATTTTCTTTAATTAATGACGTATCATTTTGATCTGCCATAAATAGCCTATCATCACTCTTGTTGATACACGTAATTTCCGATTGACCCGGGGGTTCCCCTTTGCTCCCAGCATACTTGCATGGTGACTGCGGCTGTATGCCAGTTTTTCCCGCTTCTGAAACGACGCTCTCTTTCTTCTGGTAAGCTGTTACCTCAGTAACAGGTTGAAACTGCTAAGTATTAGTCTGATGAGCCGGTATCATTTTAGCTTGTTTCAGGCAAGGGTGAATCAGCGTGTGGCGTTGCAGGATCAAAACGAAACCAAGCGATCTAAGAGTTTGTTCCGAGTGACTGACTGAGTCTATAGTCGGGTAAGTTTATCATGGAAAGAGACGGGTACTGTGTTTGTAGGCATTGATTAGGAGAGTGCGTGTTATTTGTAGCTCGTTTCAGACATAGGCAAACCAGTTCAGTGCGGCGCGGCAGGACTAAAACGAATTCACAAAGGAGTTTGTGACTGAAATTGACGCGATTTCTATCATCGGGTAAGTTTCTCCCTTTTTGGGTTGAGAGCATTGGGTTTTTGTGCGGGTGATTAACCATTGTGTTTCCCTTCTAAAGGAGTTTGAGCTCATTCTTTTTCTTTGCCTGTTGTCATCGGAATTTAATGCGAGGGATCGCCGTTGTCCTACTACCTACTGTGTGTGCGTTATTTAGTTAATATGCATGGTTTATTATATGCGAGCTGAATGAATGTTATTATCTTGCTTTGAAGTTATTTGCTGTGAAATTCTAGTGTTTGTTGATTTACTTGTTTTCTTTGTTTTGAAATTATTTGCTTTGAAATTCTAGTGTTTTCTGTTTTATCATTATTTGTTTTGTTTTGATTTATAACCCAACTGTGATGTGTCTAATTTGTCTTTTGCGGTGTGTGTGGTGTGTGAGAGAGAGTGTTGCACTTTTTGCTAGATGCTGAGGGCTGCAGCCAGGAATCCACCCCAGTTTCCTACGTGTGTTGTGGTGGTTTGAACACTGGGTGTTGTGTGCAGTGAGACGCACGGACTTTGTGTGAGTGATTAGAGTGTACTCAAAGGTGTGGTACGATTCCTTGTCTCTAGTCCTCAGCCAAAAACCTTTGAGTGTAATGTTTTATTGGATTAGTGTTGCTGTATTGACTTTCGAATGACTGCATCTCTTCTGACAACATACTTGGTTTATCGTTAATTGCTGCAGTGTCTTGCCTGGTATGTTTTGTCTTTTAATGTTTTTGTAATAAAGAATTCTTTTGTATGACACTCATGTCTCTGTTCCTCACTAGTGCAACCAACTTGTGTGCCTTCATATAGTGTATCAATCATTCTCTGTGTATTTATCAGAGTGGCGTAGTCGGGTTTCTGAAAACTGCAATTATTTAGTAGTTAGGCTTTTGTGCCTGTCACGTTTTGTTTCTTCTCATGCCACATTGTGGCGTAGTCGGCAGGATCTTGCACTGGTGTAGGACAGAGATGTGAATAATATTTTGTTTGCTTTTGATATATATTTTCTTTTTCCAGTTTTGGTTGTGTGAAGGGTGTGTTTCCTTTATTTTTTTTTTAGTAGGAATAGGACAACGGCGACCCTGTGCGGCCAGTAGTGCTCGGGCGGTGTACCCACTTTCTTCGATTTGGCCTTCACCCTCTCAGGTAAAAAATAAATAAATAAATAAAGGGGTATGGAGGAGGAATTGCAGGAGCTTCGGGCATTGGTCGCTCAGTTGCAGACCGATAATGAGCGGTTGCGCCAGGGGCCACCAGCGGTGCTGCCAGCTCCTGGTGCTGATCCGCCTATCGTTGCGCCGACTCCAGCGGTTAGTCCCTTACTCCCTGATACCGGCTCCACCGAGCGATTTGTGTTTATTCCGAGGGATCGTAAGTGCCCAAAATTTAATGGCAGGACTGGTATAGACGTAAATGAATGGGTGGAGGAGGCACGTGCTTGTATGAGGGCACGCCATATGTCTACCGTCGACCAAGCCTTCTTTTTAATCGATCATTTAGAGGGTGAGGCGCGTGAAGAGCTTCGTTATCGTTCAGGGGTTGAGCGGCACGACCCAGACCAAATTATCGCAGCATTGCGCGAATTGTATGGTTGTACGCGATCATATGTAGCGTTACAAGAACTGTTTTTCTCCAGGCGGCAGCAGGAGGGGGAGACCCTTGTGGAATTCTCCCTGGCCCTGATGAGCCTGTGGGAGAAAGTTAAAGAACAGGCTCCACATGAAATGTCTAATGCTGGCGCCTTATTGCGCGATCAGTTCGTTGAAAACGTGAGCGACAATACACTTAGACGCGAGTTAAAACAGTTAGTTCGGCGTAGCCCCAATAGTACATTACTTGAAGTGCGTAGTGAGGCAATTCGTTGGGAGCGAGAGGGGACCCCTGGGGGTGCAAGAGGACGTAGCCATTCTGTTCCAACGGCACACTGCATACAATATGGGGTGCATGGACAGTCGCAGCCTGGTGCTGGCACTCTAGAAGGGTCATCTGAGTTGCGTGAATTAAAGGAGATGATGAAATTGCAGCAACAACAGTTAAATCAGCTTACTCAAAGTTTAGCCCATATTCAGAGAACCCAACCGGGGGGTGGAGTACAGCGATTTAGTCACATTATCTGTAGGCGGTGTAGACAACCAGGTCATTTCGCAAGAGAGTGTGAGGGGGAGCGTAGAGCTACCCGGTTTCAGTCTACCAGGCCGGTGGTCCCTCCACGGGGGGGTGGACTGGCTCCGTCAGACCAGCCGTCGGAAAACTAATCCCCACCGAGCTGGTGAGTCACTGCTCGGTTGGGGAAGGGAGGGGCTCAAATCACTTGATTAGCCCAGGCTCACTTGCTCGTCTGGTGTCGGCTTGTCCGCAGCTCGTTGTTCACATGGGAGGTGTTCCTGTGTCTTGCTTAGTGGACACTGGCTCCATGGTGACAACTGTCACAGAAAGTTGTTTTTCTGCGTATTTCAAGCCTTGGGGACCAGAACGTCTCCTTTCCTGCCAGTGGTTGCAATTGCGAGCAGCGAATGGTTTGTCAATTCCGTATATAGGATACCTGGAGTTAGATATCGAACTTTGCGGTCGGTTGCTCTCGGGGTGCGGTGTCCTGGTGGTGCGAGATCCTCCTGGTGGGTTGGCTGGCCAGGTCCCTGGAGTTTTGGGGATGAATGTTTTAGGCCGCTGCTACCGGGAGCTCTTTGTCCAGCATGGCTCCGCTCTCTTTGAGTTACCGGCTGTGTCACAAGCCCCCTCATTCATTACGCAGGCCTTGCAACACTGTCATCAGGGAGGCTTTAAGTCTGCTGGAATCGTTGAGGGTCAAGTTAGGGTGCGGGGTCGCCGTGTAAGCCGTATTCCCGGGGGGACATTAAAGCTAGTAGCTGCTACCTGTTCAACCCAGTATTCCAGTGGGGCAGTTTTATTTGAGCCACCAGAGGCCGGGCTCCCAGCAGGCTTGTTGGCATCTTCTGCCTTGGTGAGAGTGGTCCGGGGAACAGTATATATACCGGTGGTAAATGTCGGCACGACTGATATTGTTCTTTATCCACGAGTTATTATTGGCACTTTAAGAGGCGTGGATGTGGTAAGTTTGCCTTCGGGGGTTAGTGAGGTCCAGCCGGTAGCCGTATCAGCAAGCGTACAGGCAGCCCGTGTTACTCCAGTACGGGACCAGATTAATTCTCTTGATCTGTCTGTACTGCCAATGGCCGATCAAGCGAAAGTTCGGGCCTTGCTGTTAAGTTATGAGTCTGTGTTTTCTACACATGAGGGGGACCTTGGGTGCACGGGTCTTATCTCTCACGACATACCCCTTGTAGACCATACTCCCATTAGGCAGCGACATCGACGGATACCTCCGTCCGAGTGTGAGGTTGTGAAGGCGCACATAAATCAGCTTCTTGAGGCACAAATAATTAGGGAGAGCAGTAGCCCCTATGCGTCACCTATCGTGCTCGTGAGAAAGAAGGATGGTAGTCTACGCTTGTGTGTAGACTACCGCAGGCTGAACACGAGCACCAGGAAGGATGCTTTTCCGTTACCGCGTATCGAGGAGACCTTGGACTCACTGACGGGGGCCCAATGGTTTTCTACCATGGATCTCGCCAGTGGGTATAACCAGGTACCGGTGACGGAGGGGGACAGATACAAAACAGCCTTCTGTACCCCTTTTGGCTTGTTTGAGTGGAACAGGATGCCCTTTGGCCTTTGTAATGCTCCTAGCACCTTTCAGCGGTTGATGCAAAGGCTGTTCGGTGATCAACAGGGACAGTCCCTTCTTTTGTACCTCGATGACATAGTGGTGTTTTCGGCCTCGGTGGATCAACATCTCTCTCGGATGGAGGTGGTCCTGAGTCGTCTGCAGAGAGAGGGATTGAAGGCTAAATTGGGGAAGTGTTCATTTTTCCAGAGGGAGGTTAAGTACTTGGGTCATGTGGTCTCGTCAGAAGGGGTCGCTACAGACCCAAGTAAGATTGAGGCAGTGACCCAATGGCGTTGTCCCACTACCGTAGGTGAAGTGCGTTCCTTTCTGGGATTTGCCAGCTATTACCGTCGGTTTGTAGAGGGATTTGCTAAAATAGCTGCCCCGCTGCATGGGCTGGTAGCAAAGCTGGCAAATCCAAAACATCGGCGTTGTTCAGAGCAGGACTTTGCCGACGCCTGGTCTATACAGTGTCAACAGAGCTTTGAGGAGTTGAAGCGGCACTTGTCTGTGGCCCTGGTGCTGGCATATGCTGATTTCTCCTTGCCTTTTGTCCTGGAGGTTGATGCCAGCTATGGGGGCCTAGGGGCAGTCCTGTCCCAAGAGCAGGGGGGAAGGGTGAGGCCGATAGCATATGCTAGTCGTGGTCTTCGGCCCACTGAGCGCCATATGGACAATTATAGCTCTATGAAATTGGAGTTTTTGGCGCTCAAGTGGGCCATGACTGAAAAATTTAGGGAGTACCTGTTGGGCCACAGATGCATTGTATTTACAGACAACAACCCTCTCAGCTATGTTTTTACAGCCAAGCTGGGTGCCACCGAACAGCGTTGGGCTGCCCAGTTGGCTGCTTTCAATTTTGAGATCAAGTATAGGTCCGGTCGCTGCAATAGGAATGCGGATGCCTTGTCTAGACAGAATCCACCCATAAGGGAGGATATTCAAAGTCTAGTTCTAGGGCAGGCCATCCCAGAAAGGATAGCTCAGATAGCCAAAGGGGGACCGGTGGCCCAGGTGAGTCAGGTGACGGTGTTCCCAGATCCACCCTTGGGAGATATGCGTTCAGGTCAGAGCGCTGACCCACATATTGGGGAACTTTTAAGGTTCTGGCGACGACAGGCACTCCCAACATCGGAGGAGCGTAAGCAGTTGCCAAAACCGGTGGTCACGATGCTTAGGCAGTGGGACCGCTTGGTGGAGCAGGAAGGTGTAATGTACCGTCGGGTAAGTCGTCCGGACGGTGGGGAAGAAATCCTGCAGGTTTTATTGCCGGTGGCCATGAAGGAGGAGGTTTTGACGCAGTTACATCAGCAGCACGGGCACCAGGGTGTGGAAAGGACTACCCAGCTGGTGCGTCAAAGGTGCTACTGGCCAGATATGTCCTCTGAGATTGCACTTTGGTGCCAGCAATGCACCAAAAAGAAATTCAAGATGGCGGCATGTGTGTAGACGTGTATGTTTGCTCTCTTCCTTTGTCCTCCACTGTTTAATCAAAGAGTCATAGGCTACTTATTCGAATATATATTTATTTATTTTATTTATTTTTTCTATTTTTCTTGATGCACGCGGCCAGACAACGCTTAAATATGAGTTTACCCCTCTTTGTGCTTCTTCTGTGCTGCTGCATGACCTCGAGGAAATCGGGGATCGATGCACCATTAGGCGTTGAGGACACCGCTGAAAGTGGCCAGAGTGAGCTCGAGGTGACTGCGCTCTGTCTATGGCCGCAATGGTATCTTTTGTATGCCGGGACTGCTCCGGTATCGCCTAATGAGCATGGCCCGATGCTTCGGATATCTTGGAGAGAACTTTCTCGTGATTCGGTACTCGCTTCCGGTGATGTCCCGCGTGGATTACGCTGCTTGTGGCTGCACGAGAACGGGAGATATTCAGCCAGAGCAATGCCTACCTGCTGTAAAGGTTCGACCACAGATGGCCAAGCAAGGAGATCATGGCTATTTTTCATCTTGCTTCTATTATCGGGTAATGTTCACCCCAACCCTGGTCCAACATTATCCCAATTACAAATGCCCAACGATCTCAAATCTTCTCATGGATTACGTTTCTTTCATTTGAATGTGCGTAGTCTGATTAATAAAATGGACTCTCTACGAGTTTGGGCCGACACGACTGGTGCAGACATAATGGTCATAACTGAGACATGGCTAAATGCCTCAGTCACAAATGATATGATCAATATCGATTCATATACAGTCTTCAGATCTGATCGTGTAAAAAAAGGAGGAGGAATTGCGATTTATGTGAGATCCACTTTAAACTGTTCCTGCATACAGACAACCAGCAAACCGAATGGTCTCGAACTTCTAGCACTCAAATTAAATCTCGCTGCCGGCTCCGATATTATTGTGGTTGGTTGTTATCGCCCGCCTTCATCGTCTTCAAGCGAGGTATGTACTTTACTTGCGGACTTTTTTCATGATTGGACTAAATATGAATTGATTATTCTTGGCGACTTCAACTGGGATTGGCTGTCGCCATCTTCTGATCTCTTCAAGGAGACCTGTGACTCTCATTGTTTGTTACAGCTGATTAATTCAAAAACTCGGATGAATCATAAGGATTTGGACAGATCTACCTTATTGGACTTAATTTTAACTAATGCTCCCCACAGATATTCAGCATCTGGAGTCTTTTGCAATGACATTAGTGATCACTGTGCAGTTGTCTGTGTGAGAAATTGTAAAATTCCTAGAAATCCACCACGTTATATTTTTAAAAGATTTTTTAAGCATTTTAATGAACAAGCTTTTCTACGCGATCTCTACTATAGTGATCTGGGTGCAGTTTCCAGTATGCCTGATGTTACATTAGCTTGGGATTATTTTAAATTGATATTTCTATCAATTTGTGATAAACATTCTCCAGTCAAAAGATTTAGGATAAGTGGAAAAAATAACCCTTGGTTTAAAGACACCGTTTCCACCTCCATAAAACAGAGAAATGCTGCTTGGGTTAAGGCCAAGAAATCTAACAATCCCCTAGACTGGATCACCTACAGAGCGTTACGAAATAAATGCACAAAATTAATCAAAAGTGCAAAACGTGATTATTATTTGTCTACCATAAATGAAAATATAAATAATCCCTCAAAGTTCTGGAAATTAATTAAGTCAACTTCAGTACCAAATCAACTATTTAAATTTCCAGAGCATTTAAATGTTAATCACACTGTAGTCAAGGGCAGAGAAATTATAGCAGATACTTTTAATAATCATTTTACTTCAGTAGGTTCCACGTCCGATGCCACTAATTCGGGTGTTAATATCTTAAATGCTGATCCTATTCAATACTGCCCGTCAGAATCTTTTAATTTTTCACCCATAACCATTGCGCAGGTTCACAATGCCCTAACGAATTTAGACATAAAAAAAAAGGCAGGATTCGATCAAATCGAGCCTTATTTTCTAAAAGTGGCCGCTAATCTCGTATCAGAACCTATAGCCTCTATATTTAACTTAAGTCTCGTTTCTAATGTTATACCTAAATCGTGGAAATCGGCAATGGTCACCCCACTATTTAAAGGGGGAGACCCCTTAGATCCAACTAATTACCGTCCTATCTCCAGATTGCCAGTTTTAGCGAAAGTTTTTGAATCACTGATAAATAATCAATTAAAACAATTTCTATCGGCTAACAATATTCTTCATGATTACCAGTCAGGATTCAGAACAGGACATAGCACCATTACTGCAGCCATGGTAGTCTCTAATGATATTATATCCTCTTTAGATAGTAAAAAGTCATGCGCCGCATTATTCGTTGACTTATCAAAAGCTTTCGACTCCGTAGATCACAAATTATTGTTACAGAGACTTAGGTCTATAGGCCTCAGTGAAGCAGCCTTAAGCTGGTTTGATAATTACCTTTCAGAACGCACCCAATGTGTGTCTGTGGAAAACTATAACTCACCTTTCCTTCAAGTCAATACCGGGGTTCCCCAAGGATCTGTTTTAGCCCCTCTTTTATTTTCGATCTTCATTAATGATTTAGGCAATGGAATAGAGTCAGCGAAACTGCATTTGTATGCAGACGATACAATCATTCATACAACAGCACCTACTTTAAATCAAGCCTTGAACCATTTACAGAATGCTTTTCAAGTTTTGCAGCATTCATTGTCTCAGTTAAAATTGGTTCTAAATACAAAAAAAACAAAATATATGATTTTTAGTCGTGGCCGTTCCAAGGTAGCTGATATCTCAATCTCAACCTCTAATGGTATTCCTCTAGAAAGAGTCAGTTCCTATAAATACTTAGGAATCTGGCTTGATGAAAGATTAGCATTCGATGTACATATTGATATGTTGCTGAAGAAGCTTAGGCCAAAATTAGGCTTCTTTTTTCGCTCAAAAAATTGTTTTCCATTTGAGGCCCGAAAGAAATTAGTAGAGAGTGCTTTTTTATCCATCATTGATTATGGTGATCTCTTATATATGCATGCAGCTACTACTCTACTCAGAAAATTAGATTGCGTTTATCACGCTGCTTTACGCTTTGTTTCTGGTGCAGAGTCACGGACACATCATTGTATTCTTTATGATTCCTTAGCTTGGTCATCTTTACATCAAAGGAGAAAACTACATATGTACTTATTCATTGCAAAAGCTCTTTTAGGTAAGTTACCTTCTTATATCTCAAATCTTTTAATCTATTATACAAATACCTATCAAACTAGGTCTAGCTCTCGCCTCCGGCTAAAAGTCCCAAGGGTATTGTCAGAATTTGGTAAAAGTGCTTTTTCTTTTTACGCTCCTTGGACTTGGAATGAACTACAAAATGTATTGAAGCTAGATGCACTTCCAACCTTGACCTCTTTGAAACGTCTTTTACTCAATGTTTTAAAGGAAAATTGTAACTGTTTTCCTTGACTCATCTTTTATCAATGTTGTCTGTGAATGTGTAAATTGTGATATTTCTTTTCAATGATTCTTGTGTATGAATTATTTTTTTTTCTTTGTGCCGCCGTCTTGACCAGGTCTCTCTGGAAGAAGAGATAGAAATATCTCAATGTGATTCTCCTGGATAAAATAAAGGAAATAATAATAATGCGAGAGGTGCCAGCGTGCAAAAGGCTTTCCCTCAACACACAGCAGTTATATGGGACACTTGATGGCTTCTCGGCCAAATGAAGTTCTGGCCATCGATTTTACAGTTCTGGAGCCTTCCCGGTCTGGCATTGAGAACGTTATGGTCATGACTGATGTGTTCTCTAAATACACGTGGGGTGTGGCTACCAGAGATCAGCGGGCTGAGACTGTGGCACAGGTTCTGGTATCTGAATGGTTTTGTCGACTCGGTGTTCCGAGTCGTATCCATTCAGATCAGGGTCGGAACTTTGAGGCTGCCCTTATCCAACAGCTTTGCCGGTTGTATGGCATTGAGAAATCGCGCACTACTCCGTACCATCCGGCGGGTAACGGACAGTGCGAGCGGTTTAATAGGACTTTGCACGATTTGCTGCGTTCTCTGTCCGACTCTCAGAAGGGTGATTGGCCGCTGTGTCTTCCCCAGGTGCTGTTTTCATATAATAGTACCCCTCATCAGAGTACTGGGGAATCCCCGCACTTGTTGATGTTTGGCCAGGAGCCACGGCTCCCAGTTGATTTTCTGCTTGGGAGAGTCGAGGAGCCAGAGGCTGGCTGTGTGCAGAGGTGGGTCTGGGAACATCAGAATAGGCTCAAAGTAGCTTTTGAGGGAGTGAAAGAGCAGTTAAGAACTGCGGCCGAACGTCGCAAGGCCCGGCATGATGGACAGGTCCGGGAGGAACCTCTAAGGGAGAGCCAGTTGGTGCTTCTTCGAGCTTTTAATGTGAGAGGCAGACATAAGATACAGGACCTCTGGGGCCCAGTAGTATACCAGATTGTGAAAGCAGGTGAGCAGGTATATTCTATTGCCCCAGTGGATAACCTGGGCCAAGTGAGACATGTACATCGCTCGGCAATAAAGCCATGGGTTGGTAAAAGTCCTTCGGTGGATCCCCCTAGGTGTAGTATGTTGGGGCCAATAACACCCTCAGAAGAAGAAGAGGAGATGGGAGACTGGTTTGTAATGGTACCCGGGACCTCTCAGGAGGGGCGGATGTCAGCGCCGCTAGTCGAGGTTCCATTGGGAGACTCTGGGGGGAATCAAGCCTCTGCGGATGGTCTTCCAGAGGAGAGTGTGGATGTGGGAGTAGAAGGACCCACCCCAGATGCTCTATTGAGGGGAGTGGGGTCATCAGAGCTTACTCCGGTTGAGGAGGATATGGGCGTCAGACGTACAAGGAGGTTGGTGGCAGGACGCCATTCAAACCTACATCACCTCCCGCGACCTGTAGGAAGACCAAGGTACGAAGTGGGTACAGGCAATAGGCCAGTATCCAGTGCTGTGGTTGCCTGGTTTCGCCCCTGGCATTAAACTCAAAGCGTATAAAAAGTGTGTATCGTCGG